ATCTATCTATCTATCTATCTATCTATCTATCTATCTATCTATCTATCTATCATCTATCTATCATCTATCATCATCTATCATCTATCTCTGTCTTCTGTCATCTAATCCAGCCACCTTTCTACATGTCCATCTATTTGTTTTCTCCCTTAGAATATTTTAGACTTCCATTTACTCCCTGTAGCGCTTTTTGCTGCCTTCCTTACAAAACAGAGATGAGCATAGCCACTGACCCCATGGCCACATCTTGACTTAAGATGTTTTAGACCTTTCCTGCTTTCGAGGCAAAGCAGAACAATAGTAAAGGCATAGACCCTGGTGCCCAGTGAGCTGGGTGTGAATACTGGCACTGCTGCTACGCACTTTATGTCCTGGACACCTCTGTATGTCTCGGTGTCTTCATCTGTAAGATGCTGATCATAATAAATGATGCCAGCGTGGTTGTTGTGCGGATTAAAAGAGTTCATTCATATGAATTGCTCAGAAGAGTGCCTGGCACTATTTGCTGTCACTTGGTGCCAGAAGGGGTCTATTTCCGTCACAGTGTTTTGATTTCAGAAATAGAAAAAGAGTCTCTGCAAGCATTCATATTTTGGACAGTGATGTTATTTATGATAATACTTAAATCAAGGACATTATTAAAGTGATTGTTTTGAAATAAAATTATTTTTGGGGTACGATATGCAGGTTTCTGTGGACGATCGCCTTAAGCAGCTTCAGGAAGCCCATAGAGATTTTGGACCCTCCTCTCAGCATTTTCTCTCGAGTAAGTACTGATCAACCTCACTGCTCTCAGTGAATGAATGAGTCAGCATACTTTTTCACTCAAGAAGCCATATTCTGCGATATAAATACATTTAATTGTATTAGATAAGTATATAAAAGGATGTATGAACATTTATGACAGTATTGTTTATCGCTCCTTATTTGTAATCACCTGGCCACAATCAGTCCGTCTTTGAAGTGGAGCCACAGGAAGCTGCCTGTAGCTGAGGCTCTGCCCGGAACCATCTGCTGGGATAACTACCGTAGTATCACACCATCGTTGCTATGTCATATTGCAAAGGTTATGAACTTTTTCACAACAGAGAAACCATTTTTGTATTTTATGATTTCAAATTAATTTTTCTCCTTAAAAAGTGCTTATTAGTTTAAAATGCGCCTGTACCTTTAAAAGTAAAACTTTATTCCCCACAAATCTTTAAATGAGAAGATTTGGGTTTATTAGGCTCACTATAATTATATTTAGCTTTTCTGCTGATCAGGTATTGCAGACTTAGCCAAAGCACATATGTAGATTTTTATGTAATATTCTCCCAACTGAATTTTTTAAAATTTTATGGACTGTTCATGAGATCTTGAATAAATAATTGGAACCCCTACTTTATCATTCACTATAAACTAGAGAAATTAGGATTCATAGTCACCCAGGTTGGGGTTAAAATAATATTTCTGCTTTTTACCAGACCTGTGATCCCTGAAAGTCAATTTCTTTATTTTAAAATTACTATGATAATACTCAGTTCCTCTGATCACTGTCAGAATTAAATGAGAAAACATACTGAGTTACACGAAGCACCTAACACAGTTCTTGGCACAGATGCTTTCACTAAATGTTAATTTCTTTCCTTTCATTGCTCCTGGCAAAGATATATAAGGAAACAGTTTGTTTAATTCAATTTAAGTGAAGTTTAAAAAGTTAAGGCAAAGCTTCTTTCCCAATTATGATACCTTCTTTGTATGTAGAACCATTGAGGACACTGAAGTATTACCGTGTCTTCCAACGAAATTGATTGCAGTTCTATTTTCTCTTAATCTTTTGTCTGCTTTACCTCAACTCAAGGTCAGGCTTTTCTTTCACAACTTCAAGAACAATCCTAATCAGTCATTTCCTGCCCTTCCTGCCCTACACCCCCCTAGTGCCCAAGTTCTCTCTGCCCCCACCCCCCTCCTCCTCTCCCACTGAGAGGTTCACACACCCAAGCCCTTAGACGGCCCATCTTGGAGTGATCTGTAGGCCCTCCTGGAAGACACTGGCTGCCTGGGTGCCGGGATGCATTTCTAAAGTTTGGATACCATCAATGTTGATGAAGTAAATAGGCTCGCAGTCCACTCATTTGGTATGAAGCACTCCAGATTTCTTAAAGTTAATTTTATAGAATGTAAAGCCATGTACTAAGATCAAATTAAAGAGGAATTTAATAAGGAACTGAGACTCTATTTACAGTTCTGTTATAAGGATTAGTCATCTATTAGTACTGATGAAACTCTACACTTAGCAACCATTCTTTCATAATAAAAATCAAACTCATGTTTCTAGGGGGAGAAAACATTATAAAAATTGTGAACCTCACACACATTGCCTATTGCCTTTTATTGTCTGGCACTGACAGTCCAAGGAGGTCAAAGTTATTCAAATCAGAACAGTTATGAAAATGAATCTAGATGTGTAAACAAAATCCCAATTGATAAATTTAACAATTGTTATCCCTTGCTGCTTGGCGTTTTTGGCTTTATTATATTTCTTGGACATTAGCCGTGGTTATAAAAGGAGCCTGTTTAGTTAGGCACAAAGTAGAAACTGACCTAATAGCCTGGTGCCAACAATGAGGTGAGGTTGGCTCTAATGAGAAATGTAATACACCTTGTTCCACACCTTCATCCCCTTTTTATACTTTCACAGACGTAGTTGGAGAAGGGAGTCCTCACATCTTATGAAGAGAGGAAGAATCACTGAACAGAAAAATTGCTGAACTAGTCAGAAATCCGGAGATTCCTGTGCTCGCCCAGCCCTTTACTTGGGCATATTATCCCATCTCTTGAGTGTTTAGTTCCTCATTAATCAAATAGGGCATTAATATCTATCTTGTTGGCTTCCTTATTACAGATATATTCGCAAATGCTCTGCAAAGTTGAGAATGCTGTATGTTTTCAAGGTAGTAATATGACATGAAATTCAGAAAAGAATCATTGATGAAAACTGGTTACATGAGAGTCTAGTGATAGTTGCAAAGTTTTATTTTTTCAAATTTGCTTATTAGTTCATTTAGCAAAATTCCTTAAGAGCTCTAGATTCACATGTGTAACTCTTCTTAAATAAGTCTTAAAATAATCGGCTTAATGTAGGGATAATATATTTTTATAAATGGGGAGTAACTGGAATTATAAAAAAGACTACCTCAGTGAAACAAAACACAAAGTCTCCATGAGAGTGGTGTCGAGTGTAAAAAGTAGGAAACTCTTTTCTGTGCATTTAAGATGAAAATACATATTTGGGATTCTTCTATCCATATAATTGCCTTGATTCTTTATAACCCTTTACCTATGTTTATTTTAAAATTCATATAATTGAGTTTGTTTAAATGTCATCTGTTCTTAATAGTTATTCCTGTGAGTATAAAATAAAGCAAAGTAAAGAATGTTACTGGTAATTTGGAAATTTCAGTCTTGAGAAATCTAGTTTATAGTCTGGATATACCAGGTGAAATTAACTTTGGTTTTAACTTTATAGGACGTATGTTATATACATATATAATATATATAACATATATATTACAGTTTCCAAATAGCACTAAATTTTAAACTGTGTTGACTATAAACAATAAGACTTGATTTTTTAAAAAGTATTTTATCAACAGGTCCAATGGTAAGGGGTGGCATTGGAAATTGAACCTGTGTTGTTCTTTCCTTGCTTTGAGTGAATTTTTAAAGTGACTGTTTTTTTGGGCTTGCAGATTTCATAATTATAGGAACCCAGCTCAGAAACCAGAGCAGTTCTCACTGAATTCGCTGTAAAACGTGTTCAGTTGTTTTGCATTAAGGCATGAGGCTGTGGAGTTAGCAGTGTTTCCAATAACCTCCCTTTGTTTCCTCAGCTTCAGTCCAGCTGCCGTGGCAAAGATCCATTTCACATAATAAAGTGCCCTATTACATCAAGTAAGTTGATTTTAATTCTCCTTTACCAACCAAAAAATAAAGTTATGTTGATAGCTTAAGAGGCTTTTTATCCTATAACTTTTAAAAGTGGAATTCAGTGCTATTATCTGAAGGAAATTATATATCTATATATTTATAGAGATAATATATATTTAATATTTCAACAAAATTAGTTTAAAAACCAGAGTGATAATTGTAGTTTATTAAGTTAGGGCTATGGCTGTGTTTAGCTGATTTTTTTAAGAGCAGGTTTTAAAATATTTGGGGAAAATGACATAATTTCTATAATACTCTTGACATAATGATGTTGCTGAAATTGTACTGATTCTAAAGCATTTTTATTCCTCCAAGAAAATCCATTTCAAAAGCTCTTGTACGCTTCTCATTTTAATCCACCAAAAAGAAACAGTGTTTTTATCATGAAAAAGTTCAATATTTTCAAGTTTTTCTTTGATTTATGGAAATTATCTGCAATATCAGTTTAGGCTTCTGATACTTCATTTTTGTTGTCAACTTGACAGTTTCTCCTTTTCACATACTAAGTTTCTCCTTATGGTGAACGTTTTATAAATTTTGTATGATTTACACAGGGTCCGCTTAGGGTTTTAGGGGTAGTCTACATGTTGTCACAGGACAGAATGATAAAATACAACTTCTTCAGTCCCTTGAGGTGTAAGTTAGCAGAGCTTGATTTACAACGTGTTAAGGTGATGAAGAGTCATAGTTGACTATTTCCCATCAACATGAATGTCATTATAATTGTGGAGGGAAATGCTGACTTATTTTATCAGGAGACAGATCTGTGTCAGATTAGCCCAGTGACCTCAAGCAAGACGGTGAAGATCTCTGGGCCAAGTTTCCTCTACACCCTAACACAGCATGTGAGTCTCCGGAATCCATGCCAACACGCACAATCGACTCTTCCTGACTCCCTCTTCCTGAAAAACCTGTGTGTGAAGCCAGTATTTTTGGAAGAGTATTTCCTTATGAAGCTTTTACTGCATCTGAGATGTAGCCTCAGGGTAACAGAGATAAGCAATGTTGCGATAACACATAACAGATATAGTAAGCAATATGTGTTACATTGTCTTAAGGGAATTTAATACTTTTATAGCTGTACAATTTATAATGTACTGAGTTGTGATAAAATTATGGATAAAGTTCAACTTTGTGCAAGCGTGAATGGGAAGAAATTAGAGGCTGGGAAAATGGACACGTCTATTGAGAGAGATGTGATAATCTGAAATTACATTTCTTAATTTTAAATTTTCATTGAAAATAATAAGAGTAATAATAATAACAATGGAGAATTTTAATTTACTGGGTGAATATTGACTTAAGTGGTACAGGTTTAGGCATAAACCTGATGTAGGCAGAATCATGGCCACATAAAGACGACCCACATTCTGAATGGGATTATGTTAGGTTGCATGAAGATGGAAGCAGGAGGTGTGAGCCAGGAAATGCAGGCAGCCTCTAGAAGCTGGAAGAGGCAAGGAAATGAGATTCTCTCCTAGAACCTCCAGAGAAGAATGTAGCCCAGACAACCTTGATTTTAGCCCAAGGAGATATTTTATATTGTGGCAATTTGTTCCAGCAGCAACAGAAAACTAATACATATGCTGTATAAAATCTAGAAGTCCATGCAAATTAATTGAAATCAACCTACTGAATTAACCTAGAATCCACATCATCTGATTTTTAAAAAATGTAAATTAGATCCAGTAAGGCATATTTTTGTTTATTTACTAGGTAAAGACAATATTAAATCTCTTGCTTGATTATGTACTACAATGGTTATCTGTTTGATTTGGCACTTTAAAAATCCATCCTTAATTTTAGCACTACTATTAAAAGGGATTTCTGTATGTCCAGGTTGATATATATGACAGAATTACATTGTCTAAGTTAGAATTTCACTAATTCAGAATTTTTATAGTTTTGGTGGGATGTAACAGGATCATATCCTCGCTCAGTCTATGCATCCTTTATGGGGCAGATCAGTAGAGTAAAAGCTAGTTTATCTGGTATCTCATTGGCTGAGTATAATATAATGATGGCGAATATTTTTAATGATGACCTGCAGCATTGTAGCATCCTAAAATAGCTTCAACATCATTAGTGAAAGATTGGATTTTCTGAAATATGTATAGTTTTAGTGTTAAATGTCTTTTATGGCTCTCAAATATTTAGAAATCTCCCCACGTGCATAGAATGAATTCTCTTCTTTTTTAGAAAGCTTGTTTACTGAGATTTTTGCATTACTTGCTCTGTTGTGTAACTTATCAGTTTATTTCCGCATAAAGAATTAACATCAATCTTGAGAGGTAGCATTATGTGAGCCAGTATCTCCAGATGAAGAATTGTTTTGAAAACAAAATGTAATTTCCAAACAAATTAATTAGCAGGTTAATAATGAATGAAGAGCCTTTTAATATATACCTCCCTTTGCATGGCTGCACAAGTAAATAGAAGAAAAATTTAAAAACAATTTTAGCATTCATTTCATGCAATTAGAATTTCTTGGAGCATATTAGAATGAATTAATTTGACCACAAAGAAAATAATATTCAGGTAGAAGTGCTATATATTTTCAGTATTTAGGTGTGCATTTTGATATAATATATACAGTGTGGTCTGGTAACAGACAAAGGTGCTTTCCTATAAATGGGAAGGTGCCATTCTCCACAGCCTGGCCCAGCAGATCTTGGCAGTTCTGAGCTGGGGAGACAACCTATGGCCCCCCATTCTCCTTCCTCATTCTCATGGTCGGGAGGGTCCTGTCATTCTGTCGATGAAGCTGGCTCATGGGTCCCCAGGGCTTTTCGAGTAGATGGTTCTGTACACAGGCCCAGCTTGTTGGTAAGCCACACTGTTTCATAGAATTTACTAAGGTGTAGTTAAGAAATGTGTTCCTTTCTTCCCCTACAGTGTCTTCTCTAAACCTCAGGGCATGACTTTTCAGCAGGCCTTCGTCTTGGTACAAACGGTTACTCCTTCCCCCTGACAGGCTCCCTGCTCACCTCCTCCCAGTTCTATGGCTGTTTCCCCCCTGGAATCTGAAGTGCAAACCTCAGCTCTTCATAGCATCCCAACTGCAGCCCCATACACGGCTTTGACATGGACATATTTGTAATCTCTGATTATACGAACAACACATATCACATTCTCCAAAGCTGACATTTCCTAGTATTACAGATGCACCAACCAGAATGAACTAATCTGTTTCCACAAACATGACTACCTCGCCTTCTCTGATGTACTCGAACTTCCCCTTAGGAGCAGGTCTAAATCAAGATCTAGTTTGTAGTTTTCCTTTTCTGGTGTTGTGCGCATTATGGATAACCTCGCAGTACTCTCCTAGACACCCTTCTCGCCTGCCAAGGACACCTCTACTGCTCTAATCCATCAATTGCTGAAAAAAATTAAGTTTATGGCTGTAAATGAAATCTTGGAGAACAGGTAGCTGTTTTTTATCCATTCGTGCTATCAATTTGCATAAACTGCATATACCAGTCTGGGTGTACATGTGCAGTCCAGAGGAGGGTATTCATGCTTATTTCTTTAGAGGAATCATGGACCCCACTTAGATGATGTAGGGGAAACAGTCACTCCCTAAATATGAGCAGAGAAAAGAGGCAGCAATGGGATATCCAAATAACAGGAAGGTCAAAGCTAACAGAGGTATAGATGAAACACTAACCAAAAAAATGAACATAAAGTGTTTTATCTTTAAAGTTTACAGATAGCTCATTCCAGAGCCAAATAAATCCTAACACCAAGGTGTAATTAACCATGAAAGGTGAATGTAGCTCCCTCTGAAAGGCTTCCTGCAGAAATCTTCTCTCTCTTCTGCCTTCATCAAATGAGGAGCAGCATCCTATCGATTCCTGGCCTTTTAACTGGAGCTCTGGGGGCACGCTTTGAGTCCATTTCCTGAAGTGGAACTTTAATGATAAAGAAATAAATGAAATCGAAGCATAAGAGACGTACTGGAGAGTCTATTTTTCCAAGAAATGGCCTGTGACTCTATCTTTATTGAAAATAAATATTTAAAGCTCACTGGGCCAACTCTGCTGATGAGGGGGTAAGAGTGAAATTGCTTTATGAGAGAACGTAAGCACCTTGGGATCACTAAGCCTCGGGGGCTCGGAGGCGGCCTCAGACAGGAGCTCACTGCGGCAACTGGAAAACTAACGCAGACAGCGGCCCTGCAGCAGCCAGACGCCCGCAAACCGCAGCAGGCCAACTTCTAGTGTGTTTACCAGTGTCCTGGTTTATGGAGATAATTTATGTGGCGTGGACATTGTCTTAGAAAGATATTCACCATTTCAAGACTTAAGAAGACACTACCTTTCCTGCCTTTTATCTGTACATTGCTGGGGCCAGAGTTATTATTAATATGAGGAATTTTGGCTTGGAATCTTCTAGATGACTCAGCTCCATTGCATTATAATAACACCTTCAGCCCTACTGTACAGTGTGATTTTTAGGGTCAGAGATGCAATTAATAAAAGTCTACCATAAGGTACAGAAAGGATCACTGTGTGGCCATGAAGGGAGGAAAAGTGGTAATTGTACTTTAATTTATAAAGATTATACTTTTAAAATAGTCTTTAAAATGAACAAAAGTACAGAACTAATAATTGTCAAATAAATTGTGAGATAAATAGAATATCTTTTTCTGTACTGATTGTAAAGTGAAATAATACAGTAGAGCCAATACAGCCATAGGCAAAAAAATAGAATTAATTCCTCCTTTAAAATATAGAGGAAACAGTTAAGTAGTAAAGTTTTAAAAAATTAAATGATATAAATTAACTTTGAAAAACAAACTAAAGGGATACAGTCATAAGCTGAACTCTGGTGGGAACATAATACTGGGGTCAAACCCCCGGGCAGGGGCATCTAGGGCTCCCAGGGCCAGTGCACCCACAGACCTGTGGCAGTGCTGCTTGATGGACTGATTCTCCTGAGCTCCAGGGAGAGATGGGTGGGTG